TTCCGTTCCCTCCCTCCCAGCTCCTCTCCAATCAATCGAAAATAGTGTTCAGTGCGCCTCCCTTTTATTTGAGCTTAGTCAAACCGGAAATGTTGCTCGGCAGCAGAGTTCCCAGCAGGCGGCGGCAGATAAATTGCTTAATTACAAATATTGCAGGCAGCCTCCGCTCCGAGTTGCAAGGAAGTTGTCCCCGAGAACTTCCCAGCCCAGGCGCTGTGAGAGAAAAATATGCGCCGGCGACTGTCATGCAAATTAGCAAGAAAAATTGCATGCCAAATGTTGTTTGTAGTTTGTTGTTTGTGTAGTCGCAGCGAAGTCAAATGTCTATAATTTAAGCAGAAAACAAGCGACAGATACATGCAGCAACTGCAGGCAAATCTCTAGCAGTCTCTTTCCTTTTGCCGCTGTTGCAAAATTTATACACGCGGCTGCCGCGGCAGAAAAATAAATTCAAAAAAGGAGAGAGAAACATTACTGGCTGTTGCTGCTGCTGCTGCTGGCTAATTTGCCACAGCAGGCAGTGGAAATTGTTGATGTGCAAAAATGTTGCTGCCGCCGTTGTTGTTGTCGTGTAAATGCCATAAATTAGTTTGTGTCAACAGACACAGAAAAGCGGAATTAAACATTGCATTTTATTTGTATTCGTATTTTTATACTTATTTTTATTTTAATCTCTTCAGCTTTAACTCTTCTATTTCTGCGATGGCCATTTCCATGCTTCATTCTCCCCAATTCAAGCGAATTTATTATGTTGGCTCGGCTTTGCCCACGGGTTTCGGATTAGATTTGACTTTGCCGGATAGTTTGACTGGTTTTTTGCAGCTTGCACATTTGGCATTGGCGTGCTCGCAAAATTATTGGCCATATATTTCGGCGCTTATGGCCGCACGAGCTGTGAAGGTCGTGTGGGTGTTGCTCTTGGGGAGGGAGTGGGGAAATGGGGGAAATCAGATATGCAGCAGAGCCAAAATCAATGCTGCCCCGCCACACACAGACTCTCTCTCGATTGTGTAAGCCAGAGATTGGAAACTGTGATAAATGCCATCTGAAAATGTTTTGTAATGCCCATTGGACAATAAAGGCAAATTGAATTATATAAATGGAATATGCTTATGGAAATCGAAGCTGGCTCTGCTGGAATTTCCCTTCGCAGAAGTGGTTAGCTAACTTTGGCAGAACTATTCTCAGGGTGAAATAGTAACTAAACTGCTTTTAGCATCTGTTCATTATTATATTATATTATTTTATTTTTAGTTACTTATTATAAAATAAGCGTATGATTGTATGATTAGATCATCGAGGATATTCCTAGATATATATTTAATTTATTTATGTATATTTAACGAACTTGTAACGAATAGCAAACGAATAGTTGAATTATTAGAAGTACAATTACAAACGAATATTCCGATAGCTGGGTGCCATTCATATTCAATTAGAATAGATTGGGCTCCATTGTGAGCGAATTAGACCATCTGCGAGTCCCCATTGTGTCTGCTCCCATTCCGTCCTCGATGGCTTTCTTCGCAAGTTGACAATTTGTCAAGATTTCCGTTGCGTCAGAAAGTCAGCAGCTCTTCTGCCCAGCTCATCCAAGCACATCGCATTCACTCGAAGGTCCACTTAAGCGCCATCTATATATGTTTATATATATATATATGGTAGAGTATATATCTTGGTCCCCGTTTGTGGGTGCCGGCAATTGAACAAATTGCCAAGGGTAGCGTTCCAACAACCCACGAGCTGCGAGCTGCGAGCCCAAGCTCATAAATAAAATGCCAAAAATCCTAATTGTAAAAGTTTTCATTTTTATGACAAAATTATACCAATATATCACGGGCGGGGGCTCAACCTCGACCCACCGCCCACTCAGCTCTTTGGTAGCTCGTTAGGCCAATAAAAACGACGGAAGAAAAATGAAATCAATGGCAGGGCAATTCGGAACACAAAGTGCTGCGAGGAATTCCGACTCACAATGAAAAGCTAGAGAGCCAAAGGAAATCCCACAGTTCGCACACAACAATGCCAAATAAATTAAATTAGTCACAAGCATATTTCAAAATCATATATAATATATAAGCCAGAACGGCCTCATCCACGACATGTATATATAAATCCTATCTCGTTCAGTTGGGCCAAGGATGCGGGCCAGCAAATAAAGCATAGAAAACGTGGAGGAGGGACGTTTTTATATATCATTTTATGTGCGCCGTGGGCGAATGTTACATAAAACTCGTTTATGGCCGAAAAGGGTTGGGTCCGAGAGTTTTACGATAGCCGCTCGCCAGAGTTGCCAGAGTTGCAACTATCTATCCGCCGACTGACTCCCTGATGTTCAGTCAAATTGCCTCCCAAACGGGGAGGGAGATATAAAAAGAAGCTCTACTTATTGCCGTGTTTCTTTTTTTGGGTCGCGCCTTTAAAGGAGTCTCTCCCAAGGACCAACTCCCCCGACACCGATACAGATACAGATACGGCTACGAGCACACATACAGATACAAATACAGATTGAGATACATATACACACGGAGCAGCCACCCACACATGCAGACACTCAACTGAACCTAACGACATAATAAAACCGGCATTTTTATGCATGTCTGAGTAACTTCATGAGCCAGACCAGACCGTTTTCCCCCTCCCGCCGACCCCACCTGTTCTACCGCCCACCGCCCACCGCCCACCGCCCACCGCCACGCCTCGCAGAGTTTTCCTGCTCTTCACTTCCAGCGCAGACAGTCGGCTTTTCTGTTTCAGGTTCACTGGAAGCGCCGCCGATTCCCGTGGGTTCAGCCGCAGAGTTTTCCTCCGAGGAGCGCTCCTGCGCACTCCCGCTCGCTTTTCTCTCGACTTTCCCCGGTTTTCTCTCCGGCTCTCCGCTGAATGACCAAAGGAACCTGCGCAGTGGAAAGGCGTGTCACAGGAGCAGCCGGAAAACAAAGGAACCCGAGGCAACAACAGCAACAATCGCCGCATTTTGGGAAGGTCGTTTGCCAACAGTTGTAAAACGGCCCAAGCCGCACAGCTGGGCGGCCAGGCGAAAGAGACGGGGATAGTGGAAGAGAAAGAGACGGAGAGCACCCGCAGAAGAGGGTCACACATTTATGCAACGAGGCGTCGACCGGCATGTAATTAACTTAGGCCGAGCCAGCCCGACGACATCGGTGGGTGGATGGGTGGATGGGCGGAACTCGGGTGGTGGGTGGGTGGTGAATCCCCCTCCTGCGAGTGGAGCTCTGAGGCTCTGGCGGAGGAATCCAGACGGGGCTTCGTTCGCTGCAAGTGTGCTATGTAGCTATGTATCTATATATCTACGGCTCGAGGTCGTTTGCCGGCACTTCTCAAACAAACGAGCCAGCGCTCCTGCCAAGATGAGCATGTACAATTGCCGGGGCCTAAAAAGAACTGGGAGCCACACAGGGGGAGCCAACATGGTAGCCGGGCTGCCAAAGCCATCATACAAGTGAATTAATCAAGAGGTAAACAGCGATAAAGCCGACAAATATCTGACATTTATTTACAGAAAGGACCATTTAGGGATCACATCCTAAAATTCAGGGCCATTTAAAAATCTATTTATTTTAGGAGACGAAATGGTGTGAACAGAAAAATGGGTAAAAATAAATCTAGGAATATGCAACAAAAATCTTAAATAGTACCTTAAAAGGTTTTTGTTCATATTAAGTTTGTATTTTTGTGCCTGTTGTTGTTTTTGAATAAATAAATAGTAATAAAAACACATAAGTTATATATATATATGTATATATATTAAATAAATGCTTTCCAAATTCAATAAACCTACTAAGGATGGTGTTTTCGCAAGCTCTTACATAAATTCTTAGCAACACTTCACGATTCTGGGTTCAAGTCAAAAAAAAGGATATGTTACAAATCAGAGCCATTTCTTACAGCCTTTACATCGTTGTTACTATATATACTATATATGTATAGTATAGCCATGTGTGTTTGCGTACAAAACATATGTGCTCGCGTTGGCCCAAGTTAAGAGAAGTGGCGGGCACATTTGCCTTTGTTGCCACTGCTGCTGCTATTATTCTTATAAAATATGCTGCATATGCCGCACGGATGATTGTGCTTGCACAACTTCGAAAATAAAAGCATACAGCGAGAAGAACGAAACACTTGCGACAACATTGCCGAGCAGGAACCAAAGGCCCGGGAAGTTCACTTGGCTCGGGGCACAACCAACCTCTTCTCCATCGCCACACACCACACCACATGTGTGTACACAACTCGGGAACTTTGCAAAGCCTTTCTCGACACGAAGTGACGGAGTCTCGAGCGCATGAATATTTCACGGAAATGATGATGAAACTAAGGAGGAATTCCATTAGCCTGCAACATGACGAAATTTGGACATTGAAGCATATTAATGGGTTTCTTGAATATTAAATAAAAGAAATAGCTGGCGGAGATCTTGAACTTTCCTTATGGACGTCTGAAAATTGCGCTTTGAATTGTTTTAATATTTTTATTCTCTCAAAAAACTATTTCCAAATGTAAAAAAAAAGATCGACTTCAAAGTTTAAATACTTGTTTGCTGGAACCAATGTGGATTATTTAGTTTGTTTATTACATCGTTATTAAGACTATACTCTAATCATTTGGTTTTAAATGGAGAGATCTTCGCTGCATATTTAAATTTAACTACAAAGTCAACATAAATAAACAAGCTCATCATTATTTAGGTTAATAAGCTCTTTCGAAAGAGTTTAATGAAAAATAGCAACTCCTTGCATATAACTTGTACTTTCGAATAAAATGCGTTCGTGGAAATGTAGTGATTCTTAAACAAATAAAATATATAAATATTCATATTTGAAAAACATCAAATTTCAATGGTTTGACTTAAATAACAATACCTTCTGAAATATTTTCTTACTAAATGAGCATAACTAAGAAAACATGGTTGTCCAAAAGTTTTCAGGTCGAGCCGAACAAATTACTAACTGCTATTTCTTTACTTGTATCTCCCAACTACTTTGAATCATCTATCAAAATTCGCATCAATCAAACGCCCCTCCACTCAGCATAGTTCCCAACTCAATCAACCGAATGGCAGCCACACCTTCCGATCGGACGACCTACCTCTGCGATATCCACCATTCATCTCCCCTCCCTGCCAACTCCAGAATTCCATTCGCAGGGCCTTAATTGAAAATTGCTGTCATGAAAAATACTCGTAAACTACGCTTCTAAGAAGTGGCCCAGACAATCGAGTGTATTGTGTGTGCACAATATAAATTTCTCATAACAATTGTACAATATGCATAACAACGCCGAGTTCCAGTTTCAATACACCGCACCTCATCAAAGTCTGGGGCCCAACAAAGAACACAAGTGTTCCGGTGGACACAAACTCGATTGGAGGCCCAACCGATCCGAACTCGAGCGGTACGAACCAAACCGAGCTGGAAATCGTAAAAGCCGTGCTGGGATTATGGCTGGAAAACTATTGTCTGGACCAGAGCTCTAAGGTAGTAAAACGTATGTATATTGCCGAGCCAAAGATGAGCTCAATATCAGCTGCACTTTAATCTTACACGGCGAAAAGTGATATATCTGAAATAATCAATGTGAAAACAGGGACCAGAATTGAATAGAACTTAATGAAATATTTTTCCAACAGGCTGTATTCATTTATTAATCCTTTGTTATGTCCGAGGGATAGTTATTTGTTTCCTGTGTAGAATTTTCGAGTGGCGAATGGCACTTCAACCCGTTCTCCGGGTCGAGGCCCCGCAGTCCGGCCAAGACGCACACTCGGGCGTATTCGAGTAGGACAAACAATACAGGCTTCAAAAACGCTTCGTTGCATATCAAATTAATTACAGAGCAGGCCCGAAAAAGAGGAGAGCGGCGGACCCGACCGGCCTGTCAGACAACCCTTGAAGATTGTTTTCTTCTGCAGGGCCGAAAACTTTTTGCACAAAGGCGAGTTAAGCTTTTGTGACTGCACACGGTGAGGACTTTCTGGGGTGGCAGGAGGAGGAGAGGGGAAAGGGGAAAGGGGGAGGAGGAGGACGATGCGACAGCTGACAGCCAACAACTCATGCACAGTGAGAACTGAAGGCATAATTTATGCCTTCAAAGTGGATTGTTCAAAGAAAACTTGGACCATTTTTCCCCTGAACAACAACATCAGCGGCAGCCAGAGCACGTCCTGTCCTCATCTTAGTCCTCATCCTCGTTGTCCTCGGTACGTTCTTGTCAACATTGAGAACAATAAAGTCGAAAACAAGATGAATAGCCAGCCCGGGGACGACGTCGAATTGGATATGCTCTCTACCTCGTTTGTTCCAGGGAATCTTCAGGGATTTCCCCTCAGAGGATGACTGGAAATCACGTCCTTTGATCGAAAATGAAATAATGCGATAGGAAAACATAGGCTGTTCTTGGGTAGAAGGTCTCCCTTTCAGGACTGGTTTTAATTACAATAGAGTTTATACTTTGAATTAGTTATTTGTGCATGCCCAAAACTGAAATGGGGATGAAAGAGAAACTTAAAATCAGGTACTTCCTATGGTATATTGGTGAACCCTTTATTAGTTAACTATCGTTTATTAAAAATCTAATAATCATTTCAGTAGCAGTCTTTACGCGCCTTGAAAGGGCATTTGCAATCCGCGGAGACAGTTTCCAGATCCGTGCGGTTTTTGTGTGTTTTTCGGTCATGACAAAACAAAATAAGAGCCGAGGAGAATGCAACTAAAACTGAAAATTTGAAACAAAGGGATGTGCGGCTGCAGAAACAAACCGAACCAGCAACAACCAGGACAGAGCCCGTCGAGAAACAGAAGCGAAACCCGGAGCAGAAACTCATTCACTCCCAGTTTGCTGTTCAAACAGAAGATTCTCGGGAAATGGGCCGAGAAGTGTACTTCTGTGGATTGGGGATTGGGGATTGGGGAACTGGGGGACTGAATGGGCTAAGCTCACGCACAGACACGCCCCCAGTCCCGAAAATGTTATTTTAACTACATTTCGGCTTTTTATGGCGCTGCCCCTCGAACCGTCGTCTTTTGTCTGGACGTTCCTTATGGCGAAATATCGTACATTTATTAATACATAATCATCTTTGTTGTCGAGCAGCGGCAACATGAGAACCGGCCGCATGGAGATGGCGATGGAGATGGAGATAGAGGCCCTCGAAGGTCCCCGCGGACGACTTTTGTGTGCTCCCCAGTGAGCTGTGGCCCATTCAGAAATAAAGCAGTAAAATCGTAATAGATATGAGGGCTCCTATCTCCCTGGTCGAGCCTGCGGTCTATTGTCGTCGTCGTTGGACGTGTTGTTCGGTCGGATCGGGTTCTGGGAAACGCAGCCTAGTTAGTGAACTCGAGCTGACTGGCCCGAAAATGTGTTTTTTGTTATTCTCCCTGGCTCTGGATTTGCCTTTGGCTTTTGTTTTTACTTTCAGTTTCCCCTCGCAGCTCTTTGTTTTTGTTCGGAGTGGTTGCTTAGTTGTGCAGAAAGGCCGATTACTCGAATGAGTATAATTTGTTCACGTTGCTCTGGCTTACTAGATGGAGTCGAAGTCCGCTTCCCCGAAATTTAGACTGGCGAGTATCGTATGAACACAGGCCTGGTAAATGTTTTCGTTTGAATGCATTAATCTGGGAATTAGTCGCGGAGGAAGCCGACACCGCATGTGGAGTACGAGGTTTAGGGGGCGGATCATCCCAAATTGACGAGCTGCATTGACATTCATTTCAGGTTTTCCACAGAATGCTCTAACATCTGTCGGGTTAAATAATAATTGCATGTGTACTTACCAATGGTTTATGTTGATTAAACCACCCGCATCATAAAACTAGATTTTAAGCGTTATAAAAAAAGAATACAATATGCAACTATGAGGATATTTATGGATGGTGAAAGTGTTATATTATAGATATAACTTAACACAGATAAAGGTTGTGAAAAATCACTGTTAGTGAAAGTAATAGTTATAGCAATAATATTGGAATAAAATTTTAATCCTTGAATAAAATGGTCTCCCATAAATCCCATAAGCACGAAAAAAACATTATCATTATAATTTTCCAACCTTGAATATGAACAACAAACAAGCTATAAAGAACTTGCATCCCGAGTCTTCCCATGGCAACTTAAACTATTGTGAGTATACGGGTATCCCATTATGTTAATGAGCCATTGTATAATCTCTTTCAGGCGAGTGTGCAAATCATTTCCGGCCATCTGCGAACGGCACACAATTAGCTGGCCACCAAATTATATCCAGATTGGAGAGCAGATGAGACTATACACAATCCGATCCGATCCCATTAGGCAAAGCTTGGGACGGGACAAGCGGCCAGTTCCTGTCGCCCGAAATTGGCAAGAAAGCGGCTCAGTGGTCCAAAAAAGAAATGCTAATGAGCGGCGGACAAGCGAGTCGAAACGAAAACTGTTAGCCAGTCAGTCCATTGTTGAGTGACTAGTGAATAAAGTAAATGCACCGAAAGAAAAATCGGGTTACAGAAAAACATCAATATTATAATATATTACAGTAAGGATTTTTAATAAGTTTTAGTCAGGATAGCTGTTTTTCACACTGACACTTTTTAAGAAGAACTAAATAACAAAGCTAAATTCGCTCAGTGAGGAGGTGAAGTATCAACCTTGGAACCTGTGCCTTTTTTCTGCCAGTGCCCTCGACTGTCTGCTGAATGCCCAAATGACCGACTGAGTGAGTGAAGGAGAAAGAGAAGCCAACTCCGTGGAGCGACGCACAATTCAATTGAAACTGTTGCCGGATCGGGACTCTGCTGGGCTCGAAGTGGGTTTTGGAAGTGGACGTGGACGTGGAACTGGAACTGTGGCTGCAAGAACTGCCGGCTTACCTTGCCTCTCAAATTGATGAACAGCAACAAAGGCTGTCCGGGGACAAAGGAAAGCCGGGCATAGAAAAGCGACTTTCAAAGTTTCCATCGCGACAATGCGAGTGTGTTTTATATACATTTTTCTTTCTTCTGCGAAATTAATGAACTATTCAAATGTCAAAGGATCCGAGGGCAAGAAACGGCGACGGTGACGGCGACGGCAAACAGTTGGTGACAACAAAACGGGCCAACAATAAAAATGAGTCCAGCGAAGGGAAGCCCATAAAAAGATTTTTCCCGTTTCATGAGGCTTTCCCCGATCCCCCCCTCATCGCCATCCGCCGATTTCCTCGGTGTGAGTATGCGCTTTTACGAAACTCAAAAAGCAATTTACCCCGGCATCGTGAGAGGTAGTCGCTGCCCCGCGTCTTGAGCTCTAAGTGCCTCCAAAGGACGATGCTCAGGTCGAAGCGTCAAAACTCGAAGAGACGAGGCGTCGCGAACCAGACAAAGCGAGTCTCCGGCGCACAGATACTCGTATTCTTCGTAAATGAGTCGTCGGTGCTGGGTTTTTATTGTCATTGCGTTTTATGGACAGTTTTACGAGCCAACGAAAGTGGTTCTGCCTGCCGGCGAAGGAGAGGTCCCGCGATAATGCCCCCCGATCCGATCCTATCCGGCATTTCGGGGTTTTACGATCGCGCAGCCATCGTATATACATCGTATATATTGTAAATCACACTTGCCTACGGAAAGAGTGTTGCCCCACTTTGGGGCAGACCCCCTCAACGATAAAACATCGCACATAAGATGTATATTAGCGTGTCCGTTAAATTGTTTTTAGTTGCCGACGCGTCTGCAAATGAGCCATTGTTGAAGGAAGGGGTTTGGGGAGGAGGGAATTGGGAGGATGGGAGAGGGGAGGGGAGGGGAATCTGCGGGTGCAGGGTAACACAGGGTACTTCAGCATCGACATGAGGTCTCCCCCTCCTCCCCCGAGTGGCAGTACGTAATCGTTTTGTGCATCTGCCACCCATTCATACCGACTTCGTGGGGAAGTGGGTGCCAAATGGAGGTGGGGAGGGGTGTGGAATGTGGGTGTTGCATGGTGTGAACTCATTGTGAATGGCCCTTCACCAGTGCAGTTGTGTTTCCAGCTCGCAACTCCCGCGGTTTTCGATAATTTACAGCGTGCCAAGTTCCTCATTCGCGAGTTTTCGTTAGAGGAGCGCCAGGTGAAAAGGCATTCCTTCAAGTGTTGCTGAAAAAATAATGAAGAAATGTTTTGATATATATTGGAAAAGTTATTTTGCAATAATCTCATCAGGAAGCTTTGAAGTTTTAATAAATATTTTCAATATCAAGACTTTATTTTTAAAATTCCTTTTCAACGCGAAGTTTTCTGAAGAGTTTGCAAATGAAATGAGCGTAACGTTTCTTTTAAACTTGTTCTTCCCCTTTAAATTAATCTTAGTTTCCCCTTCCGTATTCTGTATCTTCGCACACACTCAATTACACTTAATATGTCAATTTAGCCCCAACTACCCGACGATTCCCGATGGCCTCCCATCTTCTCCGGATTCGCGCGTTTGAAATGTTTTGCAAGCATCTGTTAATTGTGCCGCATGCATTTTTAATGTCATTTACCTGGCCACCGCCACTGGCCCTCGGCTGATTTCTAATTAAAATGCACATCGGCGGCGGAAGAAGCAGGAGAATCTTCTTCGCCGTATCAACAACTTTCAACCTCATCAAAGCGACTGGCACTTCGGAAATTAATTGCTGACTCCGCCTCACGCCACTGGCACCCTCTGGATCTCTTTTCATCTGGCTCTTGAAGACACTCGACACGTTGGCGCAATAAAAATAAAACTCATTACGATAAATTGCCGGGAAGAGGGAAACAGAAACAGAAAGCGAAGCGAAAAGGTCGCTGCCATAATTCAGGGAAATGCTCAGAAGTCGTTTCATCTTCGCTCGATTCGCCGTTCGGTCGGTCACTCGAAGCCATTCAGATTTTCATTAGAATTTTGAATTTCCAATTTGGGCTGTAACGTGGCTGTAATGAAGCAAAAGGCATCGCAATCGGAATCGAGAACCGGGTTGTGTGCAATCTACGGCTTCAAGAGAATCGGGTTTGCAAATCTCTTTCGCATGAACGACAGCACAGATATTGGAATTCTCCCCCGACGACGACCTTCCCGCTGATTGCTCGAAAACTTTTCATTTCGCTTTGCATAATTTACAATTTATTATTTTGCGTAATTTATTGTACGTGCCGCAATTTATGCACAAAATGTTGAACACAACGCTTCATTAATCAGAGTCCGAGCTTTCCCACAGTCCCAAGAGTCTACTGGCTACACCGGGAAAACTCGATACGTGCTGGTGAAGCTGGTTACAAAATTGTTAACATGGGATAGCTTGATTTCAATGGTTAAAATAGTACGCTGATATTAAGCTATTGCGTCAGGGAATTTCATGTACTGCAATCTATAAAAAGCTTTGACCTACTACGTCATTAAAATTTAATTAATGCATTCCTGTTCTGTAATACTTATTAATACTTTAATGTGTTTCTCTAACCAGATACCTCTTCAAAAAAGGAGAGTTTAAGAGTAAAATATAGTTAGAAAGATATATTCTATAGCTCTTACCCCATTTTTCTCAACAATAAACATAATAGTGACTGGTTTCGCTCTGTGTAGAAACTGCCGTTTCCTCCGGCAGGCAACTCTCTGAAATACTAATTAAGCTTAATGTAATGCACATATGCGATAAGTCGGCGGGGTTAGCCTATCCGAGATTATAACGACTGCGGACTCCGGCTGGCCTCCCTGCCAGCTCAATATATTTATATTGTATTTAGGTGGCTTGTCAGCCGGTGATTGATGTGGCAGCGACTGCTGGCTGCTGGCTGTTGGCTGCTGGCTGTTGGCTGCTGGCTTTGGCTTTTCAGCCATATTCGGCGCACAAAGCCGGGCTTCAATACAATCCGAGAGTCTGGCGGTGATAAATTGTTGCCCAAACAATGCGTATGACTTTTCAAAATAAATTCATAAGCTTGTAGTTTGAGAACGGAGCCTGTTTCTAGTGAGCTCATTGTCTGGGTTGGGTATCGTGTATATCTTACCGTATCGGATGGGGAAGATTACTGGCGCATCAAATGTGAGTTCACTGAACAAATCAGCTACCTAAATTCTAATTACATTCTTTTACACTTACTCATAGTTAACGAGTGTTAGATACTTCCACCGAATCTTTAAATGTTTGTAATTTAAAGCAGATAGTTATTTAAATAACACAGCTGAAAACATTCTTCTCCCTTTTTATTGGTAAATGTGATGGTGCCAAATCAATAATGAAAAGGGCTGCCATCACGCTACGCAAATGCCTCGATGCTTAG